TAGTGGAGCCTTATATAGCATTATTTTGCATCTTGTGTGTATGATATTGTATCTATACCACTTTTTTCAGCAGGTGTAGTTCTTCGCTGAGTCGTGTTTTATCAGCTACTGCGAGATCTTTTTCTTGCCTGCTGTCCAGAGCCCGGGCCTCCGCCAGTGCCCTGCTCTTGTCCGCCTCTGCTCGTCCTCTATCAGCATCCCCAGCTGCCCTGGAACACAGTGTTGTCCTCTGCTGGCTGACATGAAGCTTCTGTTTCAACTAATTGTAATAAAGAAAAAAAGGGACAAAAACATTATTTTTTGTTCCGCTGCATCTTCTGTGATGTCAGATGTGTAATGTACACACCTCTTTAATTTGGGCCTGGAGTTCCTGGTTGAGATTGCGCAGGTTTCTCATGGTGAGCTCACTCTCAGTCCTCATCATGATCCTTTCCATTTGAATTTCGTCAGACAGATACTTGTTTTCCTTTTTTAGGTCTTCACATTCCTGAACAATGCAGATACAGTGGCAAGGAAAAAAAGAAATAAAATATATTTTGAACAATGTTTCAGCTACTGTATTATCTTTTTGTCTACCGAATTTCAAACTTGCTGAAAGGTCTATAATTATTTTCCAAATGTTTTTCATGGTTTTAGTTTTAGTTTCAGTTTTAGTTAACCATAATAACCCTGAAATTATTAATTTAAATTTTTTTATCTAAAAAGAAAAAAAAATCTAAAAGACAACAACAATATTATCCTGCTATATATATATATATATATATATATATATATATGGACGATTTTTAGTGGCACTTTTCACGTGTATGTCATTCACAATGTTCTGAAACATGAGGCTCATGACAGAATAAGTGAAAAAGACCTAAAAAACAGGGTTCTATTAACTATTAATGTTGCAGGACGTTGCCATATTCTTCTCCATCATGTCAGCACCTACCTTCCTCTTCCTCACTAGTTCTCCCTGCAGGTGGTTGATCTGCAGGAAGGAGCCGCTGGCACTCAGTGCACTCACGGGTCGGACCGCACGTACAGGTCTTCGAGGAGGGTGCGTGGGTTTCAAAACTCCTTTAATCTCCTCGATGCTTTCGAATCGGCCGCTCATGTTGTTGCTGCTGTGAGAAAGGAACTTAAAAGTACCGCTGTCTGAAGCAGGGGTCTTCAGTGAAGTCAGAGCCTGGAGCTCTCCATGAGAGCTGGCCCTTAGGGTCATCGCTCTGACTGGACGCTGAAACCAGATTCAAACTTCAAACTATGAGCCGTTTTGAAATGTTTACTCCTCCTGCTGACCCAAAGTCCCTGTAGACATGAATGCAATGGGAACTAACGAGACTCACCAATGTGCAGCCTAGATCAATTATTTATGAGGAAATGTTATACCAACCTCACAGGGAGCAGAAACTCTATGCTACCACAAAGAATCAAACACAGCTCATCTCATTCTTGACTAATTGCACCATAGTGCCTCTCACTAGGGTTAGCAGCATATTGGTAATGATGCCAGGATTGAAGACTGACTAGATTTTTACATTTTCTGAAGAAAATGTGACTGGTGTTGACCAAGAAAATCATGCTAGTAAGATGCTAAGTTGTTAAGGGTGGTTCCTCAAAAGTGTCTGTGATATTCTGATCATTACATATGACTTGGTCTACATCAGTCTCTTGGAAATTCCCCATTTTATCATCCACCAGGCAAAAATGTTGAACCTGATCACTTAATAGCACACCTCTCCATAAAATAAACCACAGTATTTGAGGTATCATTCATGTTTGAACAATACTTAAGATCAATACTTATGGTTATTTAGCAAGCACCACTATTTAATACATTATATTATTACATGGGTCTCTAAAATACTCAATTCTGATTGGTCAATAACACCATTTAGTGATCTGATATATTTCTGTTGTCAGTGGCAACATTGTATATCAGTCTGTGCTACTTTCTTCCCTCATATCACACCGCAGACTCACTCTCTCTCTTGTTTTATACAAACACAACTGGCGCCATCTTACATCTCATGTATTGATTGTAGTAAAAATTACCTCAGATTTCAGTGTTATTATTATTGCAATCAGTGCTGGTCCCAGAATTCTGGGGGCCCTGAGCAAAACTTTGTCAATGGGTCCCTGTGATGCTGATTCTTATTAAAGTTACTAAAGTAATTCAGTGAAGAGCAGTGAATGATTCTCTCATTTTCTTTTGTTGTTTGATTAATGACAGAGACAGCACCAGGTTTATTAGGCTGCTGTCACTTTAAGACCAAATATACTGACAAGCATTCAGTTACTTTCCCAACAATTTATGCTTACTTTAGACATAGTAACTGACTGACTTTTGACATATTTGTGTGTGTATTTGTTCCTTTAAGCACACACCGAAGCCCAAAGTAGTCCATACTTGTCCGTACATGTTTCACTCCATCTTGGATCACGCGCACAGAAAGCCACCTGGGGAACAGGGTCTCTTTCGCAGCTCAATACACTTTTAACTCTTTTTTTAGTACTGCGTTCATCCAGCAAGTGATTGTCTATTACGAAAGTCATGTTAAATGTTTTAACTGATTTGGATGATATGTGAAGGGCAGTAGTGCACTGCTTTAAAGGAAAGGAACTGAATGCACCTTCGTCTTTTCATAATGGTTGGAAGTCAAAATCAAAACCAAAACAAAAATTCTATTAATTCTATTAATTCTATTATTAAAATTCTATGCACAGCCCTAATCATTAAATCATCATAAGCAAGGGGGCCCCCTGGTGTTTCGGGGGCCCTACGCAACTTGCATATTTTGAGTATAGGGAGAACAGCACTGATGCAATATTGTTGCAGTTTTTGTCTGTTGCTTAGCGGGTTGTTTTGCACATTGTAAGGGGTTTTTGCATTCCACTCTGCTCCTTTTCCATTGTTTTTCTATGTTAACATGCACTAGAGGGACATGTTTGACCGTTGACCTCAACTTTTATAAAACGGCCTGGCCTGTATCTCACGTTTTTAAATGCAAAAACGTGTCCTGTTTGAATGGTTCCTAATGGACTTTTTTTTTCTTAGAGGAAGTTTTAAATAACATACAGGGCATATTAAAAATATATTAAACTCAAATCAATATTTATATCCATATATTTATTTATTTTGTGATTACTCATTATCACAATATTACATTCAGGCAACTTACCAGATGCATAAAACCTTTTCCATTAACACATAACAACAGATAAATAGCATACTTAAATGACTTAACAAATAATTATTCAGAATAGTTCTGCATTATGTTCCTAACAGTCAACCTCAGTAACACCAGATCCTTTACAAGTATGGTGTACAAGATTGATTCCCTTTACTTTACAGAGGAAGGAAACTCAACCCCCTCCATTGTTAAATGTATTATTCAAGCAGAGGGAAGCAGCACAAATAGAACAAGTTCCACTGGCCCAGATAGCTTTGTTTGTGGTTTTGCTATAAACGTTAACTGCCTGACAACAATTGTATGGGACTCTGTCATCAGAACAAAAACTTTTTGTGACTTCGTCATATACAGTATAAGACGCAGAGTACACAAACTTCTTCAAATGTCAAAAGAGTAATATTGAAAATCCTAGTCAAAAACCTTTTGTCACGGTCTATTTCCTGTGCTCTCAGAACAGTCAGGGAAAGATGTGTTTATGTTCTAAGTCGGGAATTTAGAGATGAGATAATTGTTTGAATCTGCAAAAAATGGTACAGGATGCTTTGAATAACTTCCTATAATTTTCTACTTCTCCCCTGTGGGTTCATTTAGAGGAGATGCTTTCTATGCTTGCCTGCAAGCCTGTCAGGTCATCGCTATGCACTAACATAGCCTGTAATTCACTGTTCTCTTTCCCAGAGCTTCTTGCAATAGCATGTCACTTGGCTGGTATAGCTTTGAAAGTGATGTGGTAATTAGCCTTTCTGTTCATTTAGCCTTCAGAATCACAGACAACACTGGAAAGAATGACCTGCAGAAGGAAGCAGGCCTAATTCAGCAGTTTTTTGCTAACATCACTGATGCTACACATGAGGCTTATAAAATTCTTGTCCAAGGACACATTGAGAGGAAATATTTTTTCAGTTGGATAACAAAGCATCAAGGACATCAACAATGTGTTAAGTCAACATTCACAATGAATTTAACCTGAAATAAATGTATAATAATTAGAACAATAATTTATAAAACTTTAGAGAGAGAGAGAGACTGAAAGGGGTGCCTGATAGTAGACCGATAGTGTCTATAGTGCCCAATATAGCTGCCTGGAAGTCAGATATTTTTCCAACTTGTCCAGAATGTCTATATGTGCATAATGTATCTAATGAGTTCAAAGATAATTTGAAAAACTGGTACACGACCACAGGAATTGAAAGTTTTTTAGTTGTCCTCTGCCCTAGCTTTAAATGCCCTCTTTGGGAAGGTCATCTTACAGATCATCCTCAACCTCCTGTTTCCTATTTTTATGGGTCTCTTTCTGCAGCATCATCAGCTTGTCCAAGGACACATTGAGAGGAAATATTTTTTCAGTTGGATAACAAAGCATCAAGGACATCAACAATGTGTTAAGTCAACATTCACAATGAATTTAACCTGAAATAAATGTATAATAATTAGAACAATAATTTATAAAACTTTAGAGAGAGAGAGAGACTGAAAGGGGTGCCTGATAGTAGACTGATAGTGTCTATAGTGCCCAATATAGCTGCCTGGAAGTAAGATATTTTTCCAACTTGTCCAGAATGTCTATATGTGCATAATGTATCTAATGAGTTCAAAGATAATTTGAAAAACTGGTACACGACCACAGGAATTGAAAGTTTTTTAGTTGTCCTCTGCCCTAGCTTTAAATGCCCTCTTTGGGAAGGTCATCTTACAGATCATCCTCAACCTCCTGTTTCCTATTTTTATGGGTCTCTTTCTGCAGCATCATCAGAATGAGTGTGTTCAAGCCTCTGGACAGTTTTGGTGGCATGTTCTGCAGTCATGGCTAGAGTCTGGTTACCATTATATCTACTGCTCTTCTTATTTACAAGCACACTCTGTCTAGATGTGAGTCAAATTCAAGGTAGGTTTATCTTTTTCTCTTGATTTCCAATTTTTAAGGGTTTGTGACTTTATACTTTTGCATTTTAATAAAAACATATTTTGTTGGTTGTTTTTAGTCCCTACAAATGGAATTTCTGGAGTATTGTTAGTCCAATCCATGACCAATGTGTACAGTTTTAATGCCACCACAGCCAAAGAGGCATGTGAGGCTATTAAAATGAGAATTGCCAAAAAGGCTGAAGTGGAAACAGCAAACAAAAATGGCTTACAGACATGCAGGTAAATCACTATTTAAAGAGTGACATTAAATAGACATATAGTCAAATGAAAAATATTATTGTAGATATATGATATTGATCTGCTCTTTTAGGAAATAAGAATCTTATTTCTAAATAACATTTAAAAAACCTGGATGCCTTATATATGTCATTTCAAAGTACAATACTTTGTCATGTAAATATAACATGGGTCTGCTTGAATGTCCAGCACACACACCTTCAATACTACGATACACAAGATACACAAATTAACCTTGAAGTTCAACTTTTAGAAGTTGGTTAAAAATTATATTTGAACTCTACAGTTTCTGTTTCTGCTAAGAGTGCAATATTATGCTTTCACACAGGTACGGTTGGGTTGAAGAGCAAGTTGCAGTTATTCCTCGAATCGAGAAAAATGAAAATTGTGGTAAAAACAACTTAGGCGTTACTGTTTGGACAGCTAACATCAGCAAAATGTTTGACGTTTACTGTTTTAAGCCAGCAGGTATGTACTGTGTGTATAATATGTTTCTGAAAATAAATTATAATAATCAATATCCTATATATTAATAAGGAACAATTATGTTTAAAATGTGATTAGGAAGAAAACAATACAATATGCCAATGTTTAGACTTTAGGTTTTGTAACAAACATATAATTATAATATTAAAATCAGTAATTAAATCTACTAACATTGTCAGTAAAATGTGCTAATCAGAATATGTCTCTCACAATGCACCTTAGGTCCTGGTGGATCATTTGAAACAACATCAAGCAGGCCTCAACCTACAACAAGAGGAAGAACATCATCAAACAACGATTATTCCACTAAAACAACCCATCCATCATCCATTAAGTCAACCTCTTCTCCTGCCTACACATCTAGATCCCTTCCTCTCTACACATCCACCCCATCCATTTCCTTTGCTTTCAACACTTCCTCCACAACATTTATAACACTTAGTCTTTCTAACATCAGTGACAGTTCCCAGGCAACGACAAGCCCTCTGTCTCTTTCCTCACCCGAATTCTCAACCTCGTCCCCCTCGTCTTCCTCTCATTCATCCACTCAATTTCTTCTTCAGTATAGTTCAACTCCAACAGGCCAGCCTGCATTGTCCCAGACCACAACACCTAACACACCGCCCATTAAAGGTTGGGTTTTGAAACTTAGATGACCTCCTTAATTTGAATGACTTTGCACATCAATTTTATCACATTCTTTTGTCTTTTTTATATTTTAGCAGCTCCCAAAACATTTGTCATAATTTCTGTCATGGTACTGTTCTTGCTGGTAGCGGCAGGTGCATCTTGGTATCTTAAAATGTAAGTGTTTAATCTACTGTCATGAGAAAAGAGTTGTAACATGCATACTCTTCACTGACAAGTGTGCTTTGCTTTATTAAAAGAGGACAACGGTTTCCATCCTGGACCAGAATGAGGCCGAAACAGATTATTGAAACCGAAATGTGGAAACGAATAAGTGAGAGGCATTGTATGCCAGAACAGACCAGCAACGACAACAACATTAGGAAATGCAACAACATCATCCTTCAAATGGAACAAGACCCGGACTTAAGCTAAAAACCACTGTATTTTTGTAAAAACACTGTAGGCCTACTTTGTTAAAAAAATTAATAAAATAAAAAAAAACTTTCACTGTATGTACTCAGCACATTCAGATTTTTCTTCTGTAACACAGAAGAAAGAAAGTCATACTGATTTGGAACAACATTGTCATTTTTTGGGTGTTCAAATGTTACTTTGTTTTTAGTTTGCTGCTCATTTCATTTTCAAATATTATTTCACTTTCAAATATCAGTAACAGATGTAAATACTAATCTGTTCTTTAATAAGGCCATATGTTAAGCCTAAATGATAATAATGTGTACTCTTTAGTTGTAGGCTACTTGTTGACTTGTCTGTAGTATCAAGGATCAATGGATTTGACCATAGAGCGTGCTGCTCGTGACATCATCAACCCGCGTCAAAGTTTTCTTGCTATTATCCTACTTGTCATCTTGAATATTTGCCTGGATAAAACAAATGCTAGCAGGTTTGTAGTCATTTATTTGCACGTTCTTGTACATTTGTAGCTTATACTAACTGTTGGGTGTATTTGCGTTACGGTCTTTATGTATTGTTTCGGTTAGCCAAGCTAACACTAGTAACGTAAATGTTGTTATATCAGCATCGTCTAACGTTATATTTTAACCGCCTTTTCACATTCTGAAACATATGTATATGGTTCACTCGTCTACTTGGTTGTTGCATCTTTTGAAAGACAGTTTGTTATTTTTGTTAAACAATCAAGTTAGGTAAGAAGATGAATAAATACCTGTTCAGAAAGTATCGGTGCATGTTTATTATTACGAATAAATGTTGCGGGAATGATTTCAACGTCTGCGAAATGTACCACTAATGTCACTGACAATATGAGACCTTCATCGATATCTATGAAAAATGACTGATGTTACATGAGTAATTAATACTAATATAAATTAAGTAGTGTGGTGAGTCATTTAATATTAGCAGTTTAATATGATTAATTTTTGGCCATGCTTTTTTTTTTAGCACATCAGGTTCACATTGTTTCTCTGTAGGTAGATGACTAATAACATGAGCATAAACTTAATTTTTATCAATATTTTGGGTTAAAATATATGGACAGCGGGGTCCATGTTTCACGTTCCATTCCTCTACAACTACAAATTATGATTTTAGTCAAATTTGAGTGAAAGGTTCAATCAAAAAGTTTAATTATAAAGTGTAAACCATGATGATCATGTTATCCTGCTTGATTTGGGAATGATTAAAAAATATGATTCAAAATATCTATATTTTAGGTGCTTTGACTGGCCACCATATCTTTTAACAATTTTAATCACATTTTAGCTTTTTGAACTTCACTTAAATATACATTTTCAGTGTATGCTATCAATTAATATAAGGTAATAAAATTTCATGTGTAAGAAAATGCTGTTTAAATTAGTTTTTAATGAAGTATAACATGTCAGGCTGCATAATGTGTCATGTCAACATTCTCTCTTACCTAGGGCCTCCCGCAGTGAATGAGGTCTAGAGCTGTTTTGGAGCAGCCCTCCATCTGGAGCCAAGATGGGCCAGCAGCTTTCTGGCCAGGCAGTGACCAGACTGCCTGAGAAACTGATCAAACATGTGGGGCTTGTGCGTGACAGTGGCTACCTCACCTATGATGAGTTCTTGGGTCGTGTGGCAGAGCTCAATGATGTGTAAGGCTGCGTTTACACTTGGCATTAACATGCGATCACCGTGATCTGATCAATCAGATCGGATCGTCAGTCAATCAGGACACGGCGCGTTTACACTTGGCAACATCAGCTGACTTCTCTATCTGGATAACCGATCGGATCTGTCGTTCCCGCGGAATATTTAAATAAGTCTGCAGATGATGGCCCTGTGCAAAGTCGACCTGAAGTGGTTGGTTTTCTTTTGAAAACCATATTCAGTCACGGTACATTTAACAAAGGAAAATAACTACGAGTCTCACTAGTTCAGGAGAGAGGGGGCGGGGTTTTGCATGATGTCGACCTGAGAATGTAGACACGATGGCTGGATTGCGTTTACATTACACTGAGATCCGATCACAATGCGTCCTCGACTACCTCTGGACCAGGACATGCTGATCGGATAACATACCGATCAGAAGCGCGTTTACACTTGTCTTTTCAATGTGTATGTGCACAACATCCGGATACAGGTCACATGTTAATGCCAAGTGTAAACGCAGCCTAAGTGAGGTTTTAGGATTAAACATTTTAGTGACACAATAACCTGCTGGAGTTTGATAAGAACGTGACGTCCCATAAAAAACATAATTTTATTAATAATATTAAAAGTAATATTATAATATTAAATAGTATATTTTAAAAAAATAATAAATAAATAAAAATACAATGTAATTTCCCTCTGGTCCATCCTGTATATAATGTTTACCCAGAAAGTGTTTCTTTTCCTGTAAGGGAAATCTAAATGTGAGCTTATGTTAGTAAAACATTCATATAGTTGATGTTAAATCTAGTATTGAAAACTTTAAAAATAGTACTGGAACATTTTTTCTTTAGAAAATATTAGGACTTTAGTACATCATTAAAGAAAGCTTCAATCTGGGTTACAGCAAGGCACTTACAATGGAAGAGAAAGGGGCCTGTTCATAAATGTTTAAATACTCACTTTTTCAATTGTATAGCCACAAGATGTAAACAATATGCATGCTAACGTGATTTTTGGTGTGAAACAAATCTCTTACTAACCTATTCTGTGTAAAATTATATTGAATTTTAGAACTTGTCACAATGACAACGCAGTGCAATAAACCCTAATTCAATGGTTTTATATTAATTAAATAATTCTAAATGTTTAAAAAAAAATTATTAAAATTTTAAATTTTTTTAAAGAGAATAATACAATAATAAAAAAAAAATACAAATATATATTTATAAAGGTGCAAAAAGTAAGTATGAGCTCAATATATTTCCTGCTCATTTTTATGTTTGGACTTTAATCTGAAAACATACACATTATCCAGTTTGATGTGATGTGAAAGGTAATGTGGTTTCATTTTCTTCCACAGAACTGCTAAACTAGCCTCTGGCCAAAAGAAACATCTTTTGTTTGAAGTACAGCCGGGATCTGATGCAACAGTGTTATGGAAGGTTGCTGTGAGAATAGTATGCACCAAGGTGAGATTAATGTACACACCTCTGAATTTATAGGTAGAATGTATTAAAATTATTTTTAAAAAGTCAAACTATTTTCTAAAATACAGACATCAATCATTTGCTCTTTACTGCAAATTTAAAATGTGTGATTGATGTTTATCTAGGGTGGGATGGCAATTGTTACTGCTCTCTCTATGTGCTTATAGATTAACAAGGAGGATGGAATGGTGGAGGCCTCCCGTATTATGAATCTGTACCAGTTTATCCATCTCTACAAAGACATCACCAGTCAGGCAGCTGAAGTACTGAGTTCAGAGGCTGCGGCAGAGGGATCCTCTGGACCGCTGTCATCAGAAGATACCTGCCAGGCCAGCATGTGGATGGGCAGGTACTTCAAAGACTGCGTTTGTTCTGTTTACCAAATCTGCACCTGGTGTAATGATGCATAATAGATGACTCAAGCAAAATTTGCTCTGTAACAGGGTGAAAAAGTTGACTGATGAGGAAGAATGCTGTATCTGCATGGATGGGAAAGCAGACCTTATTCTGCCTTGTGCACACAGCTTTTGTCAGAAGTGTATTGACAAGTGGTAAGAATCTGTGATTCATTATCATGATTAGTTCATTTACTCATCATTTACTCACCCTCATGTTGTACCGAACCTGTATGACTTACTTTCTTCTGTGAAACACAAAAGAAGAGATTTTGAAAGATACTGGTTCCCATTGACTTCCATTTTATAGACAAAAAACATAATGGAAGTCAATGGGAATCGAAATAGTTTACCAACATTTGGTTACCAACATTCTTCAAAATATCTTTTGTGTTCAATAGAAGAAAGAAAGTCATACAGGTTTAAAACAAGATGAGGATGAGTAAATGATGAGATCATTTTCAGTTTTGGGTGGACTGTCTCTTAAATGGATCAGTTTACCTAAATAATTGAAATTGTCATCATTTACTCACCCTCATATTGTTCCAAACCTGTATGATTTAATTTCTTCCATGGAACACAAAAGCTGAATAATGTTTTGGTCAGAACTGTGACCAGTTCCGTTTTCAAATTTGTGAACTGAATCCAAGTTATATGTATTTTTTCAAACCAAATTTAAGACTTTTTACGACCTACACAAATAAAATTAATACTATATGTTCCTACCGAACAAAGCCATAAAATCTCAAAATAACTTGTGTATCTCAGATTCTTTTCCTTAATTAAACAGGCCGAAAGTATAAAGGAAAAAAAGAAAACAGGTTTGGATCAACGTTATGACCATAAATAATAACGAAATCCATAAATCATTTTAATCAGCCATGACAAACCCAGCTCCATTGTGTCTGTGCCTCATATAGGAGCGGTCAGAGCCGAAACTGCCCCGTCTGTCGGATTCAGGTGACTGCCGCTAATGAATCATGGGTCATGTCAGATGCTCCCACGGAGGAAGATATAGCTGGGTACATTCTCAATCTTGCGGATGAAGCTGGGCACCCACACAGACCTTAAAATGAAGCCCTGTGCCACTGTCATACTCCCCGTCTCCCCATAACAGATGACCTTCTTTGAACAGCGGTTTCATTGGGTGACTGTGGATATTTGTTGCACTATATAGTGTCACTCACTGGAGGCAATAACTGCTGATATTTTGACTTTGTAAAAAACAATTTTTAGGTTAATGCATCATATTATAACACCTGATCAATTCATAGACATTGTGAACTGTATGTAGGTAAATGCTAGACAACATGTAGCTGTAGAACTTCATTGCCTCGTTGCACTTACCATTTTATCTTGTTTGTGAAGTAATTGCACTTAATTGCTTTTGTTTCGTAAAGGCCTTGTAATACCTGGATAAGCGTCACAGTATCAGCATGTGCAACAGTTTAATAGTATTGATGCTTTAATTCAGTCACACATGATTCAGTTACATTGACTGTACAGTTGATGTGCATTTATAATCTTAAGGTTTAATGGAATAACTGTAGTGATCTGTTTGACATGAACTCATTATCTATGTGTAAGTTGCACCAAAAGTTAATTATAGGGCATGACTCCTATAACATTCATTGTGAAACATAATTGGGATGAATTAACATTTGAGAATGAACTAATTTGCTTGTTTTCTTTTGCAGCTTAATGAGTTGCAAATTAAACTTTTATTTTATAGGGCATCACCACAGTGGTGGTTAGTTACCTTTTCATATTTTTCTGGTTTGAAATCCTAGACTTTTCATCCTGCACTTTTGTGTGTATGACAGAGACTGTGAATCTGTGGGTTTAAGAAATTCACTTGTATTATAAAAGATATGTATAGATCAAACTTTATATATAAGTCTACATTTGTGTGGCAGTTTATGAAGATGTAATCCAGTTTATCAAGTTGATCTAGTTTTAAAAACATTTATTTCTGCAATATTGTCACAGATTTATAGAGGTGGGACTGAATGTTTGAAGTTTAATAAGAGAAAATGACACTAGTTACTGCTTCCTTTTGTGATAGAGTTCTTTAAAATATGGACTGAACTGGGTTGTTCACTGTTCCCTTTTCTTGTGTAAATCTTAAAGTAAATTGAATATTTTGTTCTAGCTAGTTCTTGATTGAAGGCTGTAAGAGTTCCCACTACTTCCACTGGGCTGCAGTGTTGAGCAAATAAAGAATAATTTCTCTGTTTATCTGGAATATTAACTATAGACAATCTAATCATGAATTGATTCAGCAAGGCTTGTTTTGACATCAATTTATTTATTTGACTTTGAACGCAGTATTCAAATATTGCTGAACATATACAGCATTCAGGCATATTTTTCAAAAGTCATTATACCACGTCCTTATCAAAACAGCTTAACCATCTCTGTTGGTATACAAAATGTGCAAGTTCAAGTATACAAGATTTTGTGACAAAAATACAATGCCACCCCATAGGTTGGCCAACAGAATAACAGCCCCAGATACTCGTTGCAAACAAACTAGTTTATCAAGGCACATTTTTCTTCCAGTTGCCAATGCCTTTTTTGGCTTAAAACATTTATCTGAACAAAAGAATACATTGTTCAAGTTACAAACCCGAAGACTTCCTCATTAGAAAAGGTAACAAATGTATGCTCCCTCAAAACATGTCCATCATAAGGCACCAAGACGCATGGCTCCATGTCTTGCTACCAGAATGATGTATTTCCATGACTGGTGCAAGATAAGGTTTTATGCTGATGTCTGGTCCACTCATATGGACCCATGTTATAGCCTATCTATCACCCTGCCATGTTTATAAGGCTTGTTCAGCCAAAGCTTCTGACTTGACAGCATCCACTAGGAAGCTGAGCTCATTGCACAAGGTCTCGTGGCGATAGGCCATTCGGATCTGTGCCACATTTGTCCTACGGATGTCATTTCCCTCTTGTCCATCCTGTAGATAATTCTCACCCAGGAAGTGTTTCTTCTCCTGCGAGGGAAATTTAAATGTCAGGTTAAGCTAGAAAAACATTCAGATTTTTTGTGTATGAAAGGGCTATAGCATATGGATGTTCAATTTAGCATTGGAATGCGTTTAATAGTAGCACTGGAAGATTTTTCTTTAGGAAATATTCTGGGTTCAGTACAAGTTAAACTCAATAGCATTTGTGGCATACATTTTTCGACTTAAAAAATAGCGACAATCTGGTTTACAGTGAGGTACTTCATAAATGTTACTACAGTGTACAATGTACTACAGTGACCAATTCATGAATGTTAAAATTCTCACTGCTTCAATTGTATAGCCATAAGACGATATGCATGTTAACATGATTTTTCTGTTCTGTGTAAAGTTATATTTAATTTTACAACTTAGTTACCATGACCATAAACTCTAAATGGTCATACATACCAATGCTAAAAAAAGTCTAAAACCCTAAAATGACTGTAAAAATTATTTAGACAGGTTTACAGATCAAATAATAAAGTTTTAACAGAAGAATAAATGTAAGTGCTTTTATTAACTTAAAAGCTTCACATTTCTAAAAATTCGCCCCATTTACTTACATTGACTGTTCCTCAATGTCACCTCGATTTTTGCTTTTCTTTAACGGAAACGAGGGACGAGCTGAATTTATTTGTAAATCTGAACCCACAATATTATATTGAAACTGTATGGTGTCCAAGTCATTTAAAAGATTGAAAACCCCTGCTTTATAGGGTAGGACAGCGAGAGTACCTGATGAGACAGACCACTCTGAAGCACACTATTTCTGGCGATCTCACACACATCACATGTGCTCAGTTTCCACAGTTGTGCTGCAATGGCATACTCCTCCATCAAGGCCTCCTGAAGGTACATAAACAACATAAAATCACATCACCTGACTGCTCTAAATGATTGCACTCAAAGTAGATTAATAAGCAACTCATTCAGTGCACATTATTTCCAGTAACTGCTCTCCCTGACCTTTGTATAGTGGAACTGTAACGGGTCATCTGTGGAGAGAGACACACACAGGCCCTTTTGCAGGAACTCCCTGAGGGGATTCTTGGAATACTCCAGGAACAGGCTGTTATTGCTGAGTGGAGACATTGCAATGGGCACCTGGGTCAAATAATACAGGTACTGCAGGACAGGACTCTGTATTGAGAAATTGAATAAGAACAATTGTTAAATCACAAGATAAGACTACATTAATACTATTAACTGGCATCTGATGAGTTTTTTTTATTATTTTTTAAAGCATAGCTCAAATGTGTTATATGAATAAACAGTGCTCATAAACAGCTGTTGAGATCATATTCTCAAGTGAAACAAGTAGAGGCTTGGAGTAGGAAACAATGTTCCTTATGTCACAACTTAGCAAGCTAATTGTTTGTTATTTGGTGGATTCTGAAACTACAGTGTTGTGTGGTTTGACGTGCACACAGTCCTCTTTGGGACTGACCTTCTTCAGATTGAGTCCATGAGAGATGTTGTCAGCTGTGAGGAAGGCTGATACCAGATGGGTGATGGATCCAGCCTCACCACAGTGAGGACGGAACTGAAAGGTATTGAGACCACGTTCTCTGAAGAAAAAAAAACATATTCAACTATTAAATGGTTTGTGACTTCAATTATAAAGCTTTCGGCTAAATTTGAGGAGATTAGCTTGTCTATTAATTTGTTATGTGATGACAATGGATTTTAATGCTGGAATCAGCTTGACTTACTTTCGTAGGTTGTTGAGGACCATGATGTTGGCATACATGTGGAAGAGATAGTAAGTGTATGGTGGGTTTTCCTCCGTGGTCCACTCCTCAGGTTTTGGACTCCTATAGCTGAACATGTGATCACTGTGTTTGGACTCATCATCTACACTGTCAAACCCTGTCACCTGCAGAAAAACATCCAAAGCTTTGCTGAAATCTATTCATGGCCACTTTTTGCCCTTAATTTCCTTAAGGCTTGTGGCTTTAATAAAGACTGATCAGGCTTTTCAAATATAGAGGTGCAATTACTTTGACTTCGGTGACATCAACGACACACTGACTACATTACTGACTTCAGTGGAACCACATCTATGTTTTCTGTTTGTTTTTGTGATTTTATTGTGCGTGACAATTTTACATGAAGTCATAGTCATCTGAGAACCATTTAATTGTTCAGAAGGGATCTGGTATCCCAAAGCCCAAAGCTTGATCCTCTAGTAAAATGACTGTTTTGTGTTTAAGCTGGTAATTGCACTGTTGGTTATTAAAATGTTCTTAGGTGGCATGAATCTGCTCTGCCTGTCTTGTGGTGTGATGAATCACTTACATGTTTCAGGAAGACATGCATTTCTTTGTGTTTCTGAGGGTTAACGGTGGCCTGAAACAGTGGGAGGAAGATGTTCTCTAGCATCTTGGCGAAGTTGGGAACAATCTTCTTTGATCTGAATATGTCACTAAAACCAAAGTACACAATTTGAATTTAGGAAGCAGAACTAAAATTAAATATAAGAAATATGTATGTAATTTACATATACATATATAATACATTTTTGTAATTATCTTATAAGAATTAAGAATTGTATAATATATATATAATTTCTTATATTTATCAAGCAAAAGTTGCACTCCCCTAACATGAGATGGATCATACAGGTGCCCAGGATCTAGTAAGTCCTCCTCAAATGTAACTTAACATACCAATTTAAAATAAAAATTTGAAATTGTAATATAAAATAATATGAAAACACACACATATATATATATATATATATATATATATATATAAACATTTTTTTCATTATTTTATTATTGAAAATATATATACAAGACATTTTATATTTTATATTAATTTATATTTATTTTATATTACATTTGAAATTTTTATTTTAAATTGGTATGTTAAGTTACATTAGAGAAGGACTTACTAGATCCTGGGCACCTGTATGATCCATCTCATGTTAGGGGAGTGCAACTTTTGCTTGATAAACCATTTGGACAGGTTTTCCCACTCTTCAGTGGCTCGGCCATAAATTGAGAGACGGGGTTCTGCGTGCTGATATTTACTCTCCTCCAGTTCATGAGCAACCTCCTGTGCAGAAACGTAACAATTAAATTGTTTCCTGCTTAAGAAAATAATCTGGACGCTCTGACAGTTTTAGTTTATTTTAGCTTATGCAATAGCTGCTAAATCAGCATGTGAGTTGATCAGTTTTACCTTGATGAGACGTGCAAAATATTCTCCATTGATGTAGTTATCGCTTTTGAGGTATATCTCTCTGAGCTCACTAGCACCTACTGGGTTGTATTTGGAATTGAATTTATCAAAGCGATGAAAGGTTTGTCTGCCCTGTAACAAACAATAGTGCAATTTCTTAATTACAGATCTATTCTGCATGAAAATGCAGACAAATTAAGTGAGGTCATGTGAAATACATACCGCGTGTACATCCAATGAATCTACTGTGAGATCATATGGGTCCATTTTTAGATTGTCAAACACCTGTTTGAGGGTCAACTTCTTTCCGTTCTTCTCCAGCACCACTCGGTCTGCTTCTGTCTTATATGTGTCCTGGATGAACTTCAGTAGATGCTTCTGGTTCATGCAGGCAGCTGCGTGAATGTGCGTATCAACCTGAATATTCACAATTATGTATATTTAGAAGAGAAAAGGATCATTATACATTGAGTAGTGTAAACATTAGTGTAAACACCAATAAATTTGAAATACCTTTCTGACATTGTAGAAGTCTCTGTGAGGAACGCATTTCAGTTCCTTTAACTCTGCCATCTCATTCAGCATTTCATGAAGCTGGAACTTGGACATCAGGAAGTTAAGCCTTCTGTGACAATAGGTCTTCCTATAAAAAAGAAAAGGTCTCAATGTATTTCCTTTTTTGTTGAATATCACCTATCCTGTTTATTAGCAACACATGTATGCAGTTATCAATTTTGAGATTGTATTGTGTTAAAGTAATAGTTCACCCAAAAATGAAAATTTGCTGAAAATGTACTCACCCTCAAGCCATCCAAGATATAAAGGTAGAGTTTGTTTCTTTATCGGAACAGATGGAAGCAATATTATAGATTACGGACTCATATTTTGGCCAGAAGCAATGGTTTAAATGCCTTGATGGATTTGTTCCTTACAAACACTTCACAAGACATTAATTGATGGACTGGAGTCGTGTGGATTACTTGTGGATTATTGTGATGTTTTTATCAGCTGATTGAACTCTCATTCTGACGGCACCCATTCACTGCAAAGGATCCATTGGTGAGCAAGTGATGTAATGCTAAATTTCTCCGATGAAGAAACAAACATCTACATCTTGGATGGCCTAAGGGTGAGTACATTTTCAGCAAATATTCATTTTTGGGTGAACTATTCCTTTAAGTTAGGGGTTGAGATGGATTGATTTGCAGAGGAGAAATATAACATGACCAAACTCACGTTGGTCCGTCTGCAATCATGGCAAGGACGTGGCTCATGTCAATAGCAAAGGTTTCCAAATCAGGATATGGCAAGCTCCGTGGCTGATCCCGTTTTAAGGCATCTTCATTATCATAGACGTATATGATTCCGTCTTTCATCCTCAGGGAGTAGTTCAGATTCTGTGGAAGGTCTTCCATACTGTAGGGATCCGCACCCTCACTTGGAACGGGGCAGCTTTCTGTTGCCATGGAAATAAAGCATAAAGGCAACTTTTAGATCTGATGAATACTAATGTCATGTTATATTTATGTCCTACCATAAATAGAAACATGTCTGGTTCTTTATAGTATCACTTTCCCAAACTTAATAAACAACCTACAGTCTTTAAGACAGAATATTACAGATTTAGGCCAGTAATTTAACACTTATGTCTTCCCATAGCTGTTGTCGTTATAGGTCTTTGAACAGTTAATTGTGCATTATTGCTGCATGCACTGTTGCCAACCATGACATACCTGGCAGCACTTCTTCCTCCTCACTCCATTTCTCATTATTGGCACTCCTTAAAAACCTGGCTGTGGTCCTGGGAAAGCGGTGATATGCCAGTCGTGAATATTTTTCTCTGATGAAGAGTGCTGTCAGCAGGGCTTTTGCTGCTTGCTCATAGTCCTCGACTGTTATCTGTCAGAAATGATCATAGATAAATTAATTTTGTAAATTTTTAAGAGTGCACCACCATGTTCACTACAGTTCAAAAGTGTGGGGTTGGTAAAAAAATGTTTTTAATGTTTTTGAAAGAAGTCTCTTATGCTGCATTTAATTGATCATAACTACACTAAAACAGTAATGTTGTAAAATATTATTACAATTTAAAATAACTTTTCTATGTTCATATATTTTAAAATGTAATTTATTACTGTGATGAATTTTTTTATATACCTCTATAATATTAATAATAATAATAATATAAGCTTAAAGTTTTGTAGCTTGCAGTCCATATCTTGTTAGCTTTGAGGCTATCTATATGCCAGTGTACTTTTTAAAAGTAACAGATGTGGACACATACAAGATAGTCATGCTCCATCATATGATGAATATCCAGTAATCATTGTATCATGGATGCTCACTCACAATGCTTTCTTTTTCTAATTTAGTCTACTAATCTACCACCACATCCAGAGTATTTGATTTTGAAACCACACCTCTACTGGTCATGCAAAACTGCCCCCTATATATATATATATATATATATATATATATATCTTATTATATACCATTATATACATATATTAAATAATTTGCCTCCTACCCCTGCACAGTAGTCTCCACTGATGGTGACCCTCTGGAATTCTGGGATATTGATTGGCAGAGGGCCTATAGGTGTGGACGGGGTGAGCAGGGGTGAAATCACAGACATTGCCCAGTCTGGAGCAACTGGGATTTGCAAGGATATTGACTGGGATCGCATCAGCTTGAAACTCTGTTTTCTAAAATGGGGCATACAGCATCAGAAATACATATTGAATATCACATTAATGCAAATTACTGATTGGTTCTGCAGCCTGTACAATATTTGAGTTCACTGACCTCTTGATAGATTCCTCTGACCTCTGCTCCTCTATCTCTTTACGTAGCTCCCACTCCTTGGCCTGCTGCAAGCCAATGGGACAGTCCTCAGGGACGGTGAACATGGACAAGGCGTTCTTAGTCTCTTCTTCCTTCAGAGCTGAAGCGTACACCTTCTCAGCCAAGAGTCGCACTCTCTCATCCACCTCGTGGAGAGAGATCTTCGTGAACTGACGCGGCATTTCTGCAAGGAGTAGTGCCAATAAAAAGATAAATGCCAAGAATGTTGGTTCTTTCCATTATTAGTCAATGTTAATGATCTTACGTATCTAGGAACAGCTTGTTATGTACATTTGTTCAAAGTATACTCTGGGCTGTACCATTTTCCATCAGCTTCTCAATCTCAAATCCAAGCCTGTATCTATTCCACAAAATCCCTTACCACGGTCAAATGAGTCTAAGTGAAAGTGTACTGTGTGTTTGTGTTATGCAAATAACCGTAAAGAGCAGAGTTACCAACATGTTGCCAAGACCTGACAACTGAGACTCTTACTTTGAAATTAATGGCATGGCACTATTAGTTTTATTTGTAATATTTTGGATAAGAAATTAATGGCTGTATTTTGCCATAGTGTAAAACTATTATTGAAGGAGGTAAAATGAACTAAATTTAATGTGGCAATGAAATGTGTATGTGTTATGTGTACGTGTCATGGCAGTTTTGCAACTGCACAAATCATGGTTATAAACATGTCTTCAAGTATCTGTCCACACAGTTTAGGTTTCACTCTGCATCCTGTGCCTTGGTCTTAGTCAGGTATCTGTGATGTTAACTAAGTCCCTGTCCTGAGGTCCCAAAGTGTCAGACCAGTTGTTGTTGTGTCCTCTGGCAGCAAACTGCACGGCAAGCACAGCATATTTACTTAGTAGGCAATCAAAAGTTTTTTTAAGGATAATCATGAGAAAAGAACCAATGAAAGATGAACTAATGTAATATTCACAATAATACTTTAATGTTTGTGCTCTAACCGAGTAATATTATCAAGAGCATGTTAAATATTGTATCATTGTTCTTTCATATATCAGAAGGCTTGAACAACCATCACTGTGAAACAGAAGTTTATGCACCACATTTGCAAAGTGTAATTTTGTGGTTTAGTTTTAAATGCAACACTGTAAGAAAAGGCACAAAAAAAGGCAAGAAAAGTGTCATACAGGGGTTTTCAAACTGGCATCCGGGTCTACAGAAAATCAGAGACAGAAATGACTTGCAAAATGTATTTTTTCAAGTTGTTGGAGTTAACACAATAATATAAGATATAAATTAAATATTTTATGCAATATTTTTAACAGTTACTGAAAAATATTATCTTGATTACATTTTTATTTCAAAATTTGGTTTAAAAAAATAATAATGACATTAAACACAATTTTTGCTATTCAATTGACAGCCCTAGTCGTGAGTAATAATAATATAAAAATAATAATAAATCTGGTTTTTATTTACAGATTTATACAGTGAGTAGAAAATATTCTGTCAACTTTATACAAAGTAAATATTTAGTGACTATATTTAGTGATTATATTTAAGTTTTTAACAGTTTATCATTTAATACTGGAAACAACAAGTTGTCTTAGTAATATGATGCTTAATATTTTCCTCACACAGTATAAATGGGTTTGTATGTATTAAATTATCTAACTACCATTATACAATTTAATAAATACAATAAATACTAGGAAAGGGATCATCATATTTTGGGGTTCTTGGCATCAAAAACGTTGAAAACCCTGTCAAGCGGTAGGCTTTAATACTGGATACATTTGTATATGTATTAAAATTTGTATTTAAATGTATTATCTATAACATAATATTTTACAGATAATTTTTTAGGCCTTGTCTGTTTTTTTGTCTCACATGCTCTATATGCCAATAGTAAGAGAGTGACAGTTACAATCTCAACACACTTCCTCCATTCACACACAGACTCCCTGAGCTATCATAACCTCATTTACATGCTGTAGGTTGTAGTTTCATATCAGTTCCCATGTCTTGACCACCTTTCTATTTCTCATATCACATCAGATATCACATATGCTTAAAGGAGACTCTGTGCTTATAAAGTTATAGGTCAGTCCCATCCCAGTTTTTAATGGCAGACAGGGTTAAGAAGTCAAATGCAGGTTTGTTGATTCCACCTGTGTTGACATGTAACTGGATATTCCACTGCACTGTCAACAGTCTACGAGCCTTCATACAGAAGCTTGACAGGCCTGTTAGATAGATGATTCCAGGCTACTCCCAGCCCTGCCCATCTAGGAAACCTAGATACCAGATGTCACTTTCACCGCACTTCTAGAACAGCTGTGCCTTACGCATGGAAGTAAACCCCACTTAATATATAGCATTAAAAATCAATCATATACAGTATACAGAGAGAGAAAGAGTGAGAACATATCTTACAGTAAAAAATATATTTAAAAAATATATTACGGAGATAATATATATATATATACATATGTTTGTATATTACATTAAAAATATATTTTATAATATTACATTCTATTTTGACAATCACTTAATTATTTATATATATACATATATATATATATAGAGAGAGAGAGAGAGAGAGAGAGAGATGAAAAATCACATATTTTAATAATGTAATATTATTTTATATATTATAAATATATATATATATATATCAGAATAAACAATTTTTCTGAATATCACTTAGAGTAGAATAAAAATCAATTCATAGTAAACTAAATTCTTTTGACAATCACTCTTTATTTTAACCCATCTTTAACCCATTGAAAATACACATTCTGTCAGAATAATTGTGCTATTGTTGAGCTATTGTTTAACACGTGCAACCAACATGTCACCTTTCTATTGAAGAAAAGTTTCCCACAGTTTATTCCTTACTTCCGTTTGACCCTTCCAATATCCAATCATTTGACTGTCCCTGACCCCTATTATTCTGCTTGAGCAACCCTATTGTACCAAATGTTGGAATATACACTTTCTCTTACCTTCAGCACCTATTTTTTCCATGGTTTTACTGGATCTCTGTGTTTGGACTTTCTCTTCCTGTTACTTTCTAACTGTGGTCTTCAGTTCTAGGTCTTGTTTGTCTATGAGGCAGCTTCAGTGTTTTCCAGTCTTGAGTATCCCGCACCCCCCTATTTAAAGCGTCTGACAGCATCATGTCAGCAAAGAGCTTGGCTGGACGTCACAACAAACTGCGAGCTGAACCTGAGACCCTTCTAAATGCTGGCAGGTTCTGGAGCTTGCGAGCTGTCAGGGTAATTTCCTACCCCCCATGTTTTTATAAGAGAATAACATTGCCTTGGCTCACTCATGTTCCAGAAACGTTACTCAACTTTTAAAGGAAGGCTGCATATGCTATGGCTTAACATATACAATGTAATGTAATTAAGAGCCATGTTTACATTCCCAAGCTCAACCTTAGCAACTTGTCATGTATAACAGCTCAACCTGATTTTAAACCAGCCCACACCAACTATGCCCTACCCTGCACAGGTAAACAGAATCACAGGTTACTCCTTTTTAAGTCAACATAACTCATACGCCACCAGTGTACTGTAAGTGCAGTATTATTAGCAAGCTTCTGGCAAGCACAAGCTGACACGCACACGACCCAGAGGAATACTCTGTTCCAAACAGCATCCCATAACATCGTAATCAGTCTTCATACCCCCATGGCTGAAGTTACACTCACATTGTTTTGCTAAATCTTGAAATGATCATGGAAGAACACAAGGCTTCAAGTAAATGAGCAATACATTCTCAAAACACTAATTCAGTACACAGTGAGAGCATTTATTTACCTGCGCTTTGAGAAGATCAGGCTACCACGCAGTTGTCTCGAAGAGAGTATAGAGGGTGACAGACAGAATAGCTCTTTTTATTTGCGCCTATTAAAACCGTGTCTCGTCCGACCTTTCCTTATTTGTAGGGAAACAAGCTGAACTCCACCCTGCAGCGTAGCACTGGCTCCATACCTGCCCTTCCTACCGAGCCTCTGCCCCCTCCCCTTACCTCACATTTCTCTGTCTGAATGAATAACTTTCTTTCTACACCATCTCAAAGACGGAAGAGGCTTACTTTCATTTTAACATACAAGTCCTGCCTACTTTGTGCCATACAAGTTGACTTTACTTTCATAGAATCAAAGCATGCAAACCATTAAATTACAATGAAATCATTCTCATAGGACTATATTAAACACCAAATTAATGTAGTCAAATTTAATGCGTGTCATTTAAATAACTGTTAAATAACTTTCTTTGCATTTGAAATGAAAACAAAACATTTTTGCAAAGTCATTGAGGCTTGCACAAGTCATCGACTCTTGGCATGAGGTAAGTGCTTCATTGCAAATTGGTTATTTATAGAAACATGCAGTGCTCTTTTGATAGAGCACTTTATGACATGCTTGCAAAGAATGTTGAGGACACCTTGCCATGCTATGCTTTAAACCTACTTTGACTGAGTGACAACACCAGACAATATGTCTGCAGGCCACCTTTTAGGAGTTTGTTCTAGTTTACCTGCACACTGGCCTTTTACAAGTTAACATGTAGTGTTCAGACAGAATAGTATCATACTGCGCCAAACTTACCCTTCCCTAAGCTCTGCGTTGATTGTTGCTTGCATAGAGGAGTTCCTTTTCTGCTCATTTTGTACAGCGTAGTAGATGCAACACGATCTATAGTGAAACTTCCACCTAAAAGAGACAGAGGCAAACTCCTCATGTTCTTAAAATACATTGCAGGAATATTCCAGAAAAATTCCACAGTAAAAACACCATGATGAATGTATGTGTTATTATTTTATAATACATTAACATGAGCTGTTTACCTTTCAGTGAGTTGATGACAGCTAACAGCCAATCTTGTGGTATTGAAAAACAGGAAAAGGAAATTCGTAAGAACAATCTAGCAGACACTATTGCTACAACGTCAGATACAAAATCAAAACACATAAATTATTCCCTAGTGTTTACTGAATATCCTGAGCACTTCGTTTACAGCGCATGCTACATTTTACTGGTGTCTTAGGGTAAAACAGCTCCCGTTAAATGCTTATCTACAAGAACACAGTTCTGAAGTTCTGAATAAGGAAATGCAACATTCAAATAATGCTACCACCCCTGATAAAACTGTACCATGTTTAATCCATACATTTTAAAGGTTAATCCGTTTTACAAAGGGAGATGTGTAAACAATGCAAAACAGAGACAGAGTAAGATTATGTACATGGATTAAGAAAAGCAGCGTGGAATGAAGCATGAGCCCACAACAGGTTCAGACCTGCAGGAGATGCTTGAAAAGAGGCCACAGGTTACAGCACTTCTACTGTAGTAACCAAACAGCCAAGGCGTTAGTAAACTGTTTTAAAAGAGATATTAACCAACTAACCTTACGTGTGCAGACCTCGGGTTTTTTTTTTCTCCCTGCAGTCTTGCTGTCTGTGTGTGTGTGTCTCTGTGTGTGTGACTGTCCCCTGAGACACTCTGCTGTGCTCTGTAGTGCAACACTCACTGGGTGTGAAAATATGCCTCAAGGCTCTTACAAGCTGCATCTACAAGTGAAAAATGTCACAACATTTAACTCTTTCAGTGCTGGTGGCTTGGAGGCTTGAATCTTGTCTGGTACCGCTTTTAAAATTTTATCCATACAAAAATATGATACACGGACGTCACTGACTGCTGCGCATTTCCGCGTCTCTCGCGTGCACAAACACCGCGTTTTCAAGTCGCTGTATCAAATAATATGAACTAAACTTCTAGCTACAAAACGCATCTCGAGACCAATTCATCTTATTGTGAGTGTACATTAATTTAAGTGTAATTTTGAGAAGTACAATTTTTTAAATGTAACTTTTCTTTCAATTAGAAAAAAAATGTGGAAATGGTCTGTTTTGCTTATCTCCCCAACTCCTCACATGAACGATGTTTCGCAAGACTGCCTTTTTATCTGTTAGTTAAATGACAGTTGAATTACTTTATCTTTACTTTGCTTTTGATTTTATCAGTATTTTTCATTTTGTTAGGCTACTTCTCCTTTTTCTATTTCTAAAACTTGAACTAAATGGCATGTTGCTTTAGCCAGTGTAATGTAGTTTCTCATGCTAGATGGCATCAACACACAAGGTGTAATATTCATTCGGTCCACTAAATATTTATTTATTTATTTGTATTTATTTATTTATTTCCATTCAAGGTACAGAACTGAAAGCTGCCATGCAAATAACACAGACAAATTTTCCTCACTCACTCTTGCTGGAGTTTAATTGGATATTAATCAACAGGTGTCACATTATTGAACGATTCATGTGGAAAAAATGCTTTTCATTCTAGCGATATGAACTTACAGGATAAACATCTTATTTCAAAATAAACTAGATGCCCTTTTACTGTATACAATAGTTTCTTAAGAATACATGTAGGCCTACAGTATGTAGATATAAATATATGAACTTTTAACATACATTATTTTCATAATATACATCTTTGTACACAATAATAGACTACATAACATATTAAAGTGAAATATTGCACGGCTCCCACATATAAATCAGTCTTCAAGTATATGGATGTCCTTGAGGACAACAAAAATCATTTCTTCCATAAAGAGTTTTCTCTCTGTTCTTAATCATTGGTCCTCCAGGGTAGATAGCTTTAAGTCATAAAAGTTAGTTCCTTTTTCCTCTTCTTGCTATTCTCTCTCCGTCCTCTTTAATGAAAGTTAGGGCTGGCAGAGTTCTAGGCTGTTCCTTCATTCCTCCAGCAGAGGGCGCATCAGTGCTGCAGAAGAGACAGAGAGTCAAGTCCCAAAGGTCCATTAGAATGACAAGAATGCTAAACACATGCATTGACCACCAATTTCCTGTCATATTGCCTTAGACCCACACATTATATATATATATATATATATATATATATTTCCCAACTGATAGCACTCCTTTTTTTTCCACACCACTTTAAGTGACCTGAATCCTTCTCAGTCCAACCCATCAGGCAGAGGATGGAGAGAAGGATGCTCCAGTTTCTCCTTTGTGCCTGAAGAGAGTACACTAACGTTCAGCAAAGGAATTATCAGAAGTATCTCAGTAAACCGAGCAAATGGAAACCAAAGGCTCAGGACAAACCGCAGAAGTGTTCACGGGTTGTTCTTTAATCCCCTTTGTGGATGGATCGTGGAAAGTTAGTGCAAGGTTTGATGGGAACTAACGTCTCCGCCGCCGTCCATAGCCCTTTGAGCTGATCTTTTCAATAGGGGCGTTGTTCGTCTTTGTGTTGATCATATTCAGCAGGTGGGCCAGTTCGTGCACTGAGCAGGTGGACAGAATACATCCCGCTCTTTCCACTCTTTTGACTGAGTAGGCTGGTTCTGTCCGCTTTAGCCTCACACTCCTGGAGAGAAACAGAAAGCAATTAGTTTTGCTTTCCCTGCCAGTAACCAGCTATGTTCTCAGAACATTCTGGTAAGGTTCTCTCAAAGTTATGAACGAACATTCTTCCAATAACGATAATAGAATTTTCATTCAGAGTTATCCGGTCTTTAATAATGTGCTCAAAATGCACAAAAACATTATTTATACATTATTAATGGAATGTTCATGTTTTCATGACTTTCTGGGAACATTATGAAAACATTCATAGAACATATTTTGTTTGCTGGATAGTGAATAGTTAGTTTGGCCTTGATATGCATCTGTTCAGTCAAAGAATGTTTCTTACCTGTGCTGTGGTACAAATGACTCAGTATCGTTGTTCCTCTGAGTCAGCAAAGCTGCTGAGTCGCTCTCACTCCTCTTGGACAAGCTATGGACATCTCTCCTCACCCTACCCTGAAGCCAAACACTGAGCCTAGCCAATGACAAGAGAAGCCCATAAGATTTTATTCAAAATCAGAAAGTCTTGAATGAGAAGACTGGTTGAGCGTACCTTCTCAAACCATCCGCATTTAGAGGTTTCGCGCTCGTGATGCTCGGCAGAATTGTGGTCAGCACACACCACAGGAAAGCCTTCTGAAGCACTGAGTTCATTGTGAATGGAACCTGTGGAAGAACATGCAGAAATGTTATTAGTCGCATAAAATGCAAGCTAGTTTTTTCTTCTCACGTCTCATGAATTTTGAAGAAAAAAAAGCCCAAATGACGTGATCTTCCTGTTCCTGGTTGACTCCACGCTGGTCACTCATTTATTTTGAAAGTTACAGAGAGGTTAGGTTTTGCTCAACTGTGTCATTTACAAATAGCAAGTCTTATACTTTTTTGTATAGTCAGGTGCACCCTTGGTGCAATGATAAGCACTCGCCAAAAAGTCAAATGTTTTGTTAAGCATGTTTTTTTTACCTTGACCTTTGAGGTCACCAAAGTCAAGAATCCACAAGTCAGAGTTAACAAACCAAGGAAACATACCTGATAGTTTCGGTTGGTCTCTGGAATTAACTGCACACTCGAAAAGTGGTGATGGTGAAGTCTGTATTTTTGTGTATTTCCAAATTGTGTCCAAATCTTGGTTGGCTAGGGATGAGTATTCAGCTGTGACACTGCTAATGGTCTGAGTTTCACAGAAAAACCTGAGTGCTTTATATACTTTACAGGGGGTGGGAAGGGGCGGGAGCTGTCTTGAGTGATAGCAGCCACATCCCTGTTCTAAACTAGCCAACAACTTTACATGCCCTGTCTTAAAAGGATGGAATATAACCCCTCAGAGAAATCATTACTTCAGCATTCCTGTAATATTGTTCTTAATGACACCATTTGTTTTGGTTGCGAATCATTTTCATATCTCCTGCATGTCTGCATTCACAGGGTCAGAGAGGTTTTGAATTGTAGATGGACAGACAGAAGTGTAGATGGAAAGATTAATTTACCAGACAAATATGCTTCAGCATCAGCCTTGTAAACATCTGATGATTAACTTCCTGCGAAGCATCTGGAATGCACATCTAATTGGTGATCGAGTTTATTTCAAATGATGTGACTTGGAGATGTTGTCCTTGGGATAATGACTCTGCACAAGCCCTCACACATTCCAGCCACCTACACATTTTGTTAACAAGTTAGGAATGTGGAATTAATGATTTCTATATCGAGTACAGCTAATATGACACCAGATGCTTTGCCAAAATAATTTATGAATGAAACATGACCAAATTTGTAACTGAATAGAGAGAAAAACAGTAGATGGTAATTATTCCTGCTCAAACATTTTGCTCACCCCAAAATTTGGATTAGGTTCTTATCTCTCTGTATTGTTACCAGTTCATGTGGCATATTTTTCCATCCATGAATATACAAATAGATGACATTCTTTATATGCATTGTGTATATACTGTGCCATTCAAAAGTTTGGGATCGTTAGATATTTTTTTATATTTTTGAAAGAAATCTTATACTTACTAAAGCGTATCATTTATTTGATCAAAAATACAGCAGAAATAATAATATTGTGAAATATTGTTAGAATTCATACTAACTGTTAATATATCTTAAAAAGTAGGCCTAATTTATTCCTGTGAAGGCAAAGCTGAATTTGCAGCATCATTACTCCAGTCTTCAGTGTCACATGATCCTTCAGAAATCATTCTAATATGCTGATTTGCCCAAGAAACATTTCTTAGTATTATCAATGATGAAAACAGTTGTGCTGCTAAATATTTTTATGGAAACGATACTTTTTCAGGTTTCTTTAATGAATAGAACAAGGCTTTAATGAATGAGTTCAAAAGAAATATTTTGTAACATTATAAATGTCTTTACTATCATTTAACGTGTCCTTGTGGAAAAAAGTATTCATTTCTTAGCATCAAAATTTTTGAACAGTATTTTTTAAATATACAGTATACCCCATTAAAAAAATAATCCTTTTTTTTTTTTTAAGTGTTACTCTTGTATACAGTTGTGATCTGTTTTTAAAATCACCATTTCAGCACATTAAACACAATAGAATTGCAAATAGGCTGCATGACTCTGGTAACATTATATTAAGTGTCTCATAAGGCTGCTTGTTTCCACCAAGTGAAGACATGCCCAGTAAAGACAACTTCACTCCTACCATTTTCTATTGAGTTCAACAACACCCAATTCTATATTTAAGGCAGAGCAAAGCCTCTCCCTCTCATCTTTTTATTTGTAGAAAGTAGAAACAGTGTCAATTTTTTTTTTATATAGACACAGAGTGTTCTGGAATGATAAAGCACAATCTGCTGCACTCTGTCTCAGATGTTTCTTGTCTCTGCCACAGTCGTACAGTCTTAGTATAAGTGACATACTGACTGTCTGAATCCATTTGTGGTCTTCTATCATGCCAAATAAAACTATAGGGGAAGTAGTGAGGGATTGATATGGTGTGGTGAATAGAGGTAAAAATAATACTGTCTCTTTATGACAGGAAGAAAGCTAGAATAAACCAGAATTGGATTCTAACAGCATCAAAGTGTTACGTCCATATTGAACTTCTTTTGGGGGTCACATGTTTTGATTTAAGCATGACAGCTCAGCTGTGATGTATTTCCTTTTTTCAGTAATAGAGCGATTACCTATATGTTTGAGTCACAACACACACTTTTTTTATCTCACAAATACAACCACAAGTTCTTATAGGCCGCAAGTACACGACAATTGTGACATTTGGGATGTGAGATAATCTGAATAGATCTGTGAAAAATTGAGGGTGTATTCCAAGCAGATGGGGCAAGTTCCCTAGAGCC